TTTTTGAAATAGCTAAACCTGAAATCGAAAAGGCCCTTTCTGATGGAACTGACGTTGATTGGATTGTTAAATAATCCAAGGAAACTGAAGAAACATCTGAAATATTGTCGTCATTTTCATAAGAAATATCACCAGACATATTTGCAATACAGTATTGATCATCTAAACCGGTCTAAAAATCAGTTTGATTGAACCGTTCAATCACAGACTTTAACATCCCTAGATACAGTACATAACTGATATACGCCCACTAAACGAATCTCTCTTCTAATGTCTACAGAAAAGTTCCTTGGTCATTCCGTTAATTTTCAACTACTTTCTTTTATTGGTTTGCGTAAGATATTAATTACTTTTCGATTTACAGTTCTTCGTGACTATGTTGTTAATACTCCTCCGGAAAACATATCATACTTGCATTTCCTGAACTCCAACAAAGAAACTATCAAAACGCTCCCGCCGTACGCGAAGACTTGGAATGCTAATCACAGTTCATGAAGCCAACGCTTTCTAAGAGAGATATATTATTTGGAAGATAAAGTGATAGAAAGGGTAAATATGTTTCTTATGGTTTTTTTTTGCAGAAGGGCAACTTTTGACACGTAAATCGTGAATCCAAAGCATGGGTGAAATCCCAGCCCAAGTGGTGGTATGAACAACTCTTGACATGTAAATCACGGATAGAGTATAAGTGAAATCTTAGTTCTACTATACGCGACCCATTTTTCTTCGCGTCCTTAAGCTTCTTATAGTGATTTTGAAACCACGATATACTTATACTGCCCATGACTTACATTTTTCTTTAAAAGGTCAAACTCGAATGTAAGGATGTGAAATACCTACAAACGTTCCGGGCATCGATAATTAATCAGCGAGATCAGGTTTGTTGCTTGAAATACTCAGGTTTTGGAAAAACTTTAATTATTCGCAATTCTTACACAATTCTTAATGTTATCTGTTATTATAATAGGAATCCGTCAAAGATATGCTTGATGATGGGTGTATTCGATTGGTAAAATTATCAGGAAAATCTCAAATTCGGGGAGTTGAAGATTTGTATAAGTTATCGTCTGAAGCGCAAATGGAAAATTTAAATGAAGAGACTCTGGGTGCATTCCAACCACCATCAAAAAGGCTCAGAGAGGATGAATATGAACAGCCACGAACTCCTGAGGATAAGGTAACACATTTCCATTTTGTTTTCAATATGTGGACCGCAACAAGAATGTCTTCTCACGTTTTGAATGCACGCACAGATCCGAACTACCAGTGGAACAGAAATGGAAGAAACTGATAGCGATTTAACGTACAATGACGAAGAGCCCTCTGAAACTTTTTCGTCACAAAAATCTTATACACATGCTACCAAAGTGGTGCTCGCGACCGTTAATACTGTGTCTATCGATAATATCGATAATCGTCGTCTAACTGAAAAACATAGCCGGGATACAAATAATGAAGAGGAGGAAATGCCAAATATTGAAGGAGTTACGTCTCCGCTAAAAAAGGTGAGTTCGATAAAGGTCCTTTCTAAATTTGTTACATAACCCTTTTCTTACCTTGTGGATGTGCGCACAGATAAAAACCGCTGATAGAGCAGAAAACATGGACGGTTGCAAGGAAAATCGAATGCAGTCAACTTCAGAAAACTCTATGATTTCATTGGAGACAGATGATGAAATAGATTATAGTAATCATGATATAGATCCAAACATTGAGTCCGACTTATTGGAGCAACAGATACCTGTACAAAATCACTCAAAGTACCCTGATCAAGACAGTCAAGATAATATTTGGTTATTGCCTTCTAAAAAACCGATTGAAGAAGTAATTCGTGGACCTGGAAATCTGCATAAATCACAGTAAGTTTTATAATCTTCGTTTCTTTTCTTCATGTCTTGATCCAACATATTAATTTTTGCATTTATATGTAGCCCATCATGTCTTGGTATCATACGTATTGGTTCAAAGATTCGTAAACCAGAGTGGATTGAACAAAAAGATTGGAATTACTTACAAACTAGCATTGAATATCCGAATTACAAACTGACTTCTAATGTAGAAAACCTCGTTAAAGAATTATTAGAGACTGTAAGTACAAATTATTCTTTATCTTTAATGATAATGTTATTTACATTTGTTAATTAACAATAGAACTCGTTAATGGAGTATAAGCAATGTGTTTGTAAAGCCAAGTTTAAAAATGAGATCGATAAGGAAATGGAATTTGTAACGGATGTCT